TTGGAGACAGCGTTGTACTATGTCGCCCAGGGTGGTTTCAAATTCCTGGTCTCAAGGGATCCTCTCTCAGCCTATAGGTGTGCACCACCATGCCCAGTTTGTCTTTCATTTCACATATTTAGAGTTGTGAGGCCAGGAGCGGTGGCTCATGCCTGTAATCCCAGAACTTTGGGGGGCTGAGGCGGGTGGATTGCTTGAGCCGTGGAGTTCAAAAACCAGAGTGGGCAACATGGCAAAACCCCATCTCTACCAAAAATACAAAAATTAGGCAGCCTCATAACCCAGTCTCTAAATAAATAAGTAAACAGCTAAGAGTTGTGAGTCACCAGTTAGAATCAGTATTCTCCATTCCTCTTTCCAGACTCTTTCACAGAGGCCTCCCTAGACCTGAGCCTGTTCCATACTAATTCCTCAGAAACCAAACTGAGCACTGGTCCCGAAGATGCACTAATGCTGCAGGGATCCTTTTTAAGCCTAGGGGAGAGCGGCTTAAAGAGGGGGTGCGTCCAGCAAAGTGGACGGCAGAGGGGAAAAGTCACCAGAAGATACCATAGGAGAGTATTTGGAGAATTATTTGGCAATAAAGTTAATTCAGGGAAGTCACCAGATCCAGGAGGGCATGAAGTGGCCCCAGTGGCAGGCAGTGCTCCCTCGGGGTGGCATTCCCCAAACTGCCAAACAGAGGCACTAACCTCCTCCATGTACTCAGGCTCTGAGGCGGATGCATCCCAGCGGTTGTTCAGGATGAAGATGTTCGGCCGGGAGAGACGCTCACTCACCTTGTGGAAGAAGTGCTTTTCCTAGACAAAGGGTAAGACCTCGGTGGAGCAGGAGCCTGACAGCCAAGGCCCCATCAGCTGCCTGCCCAGGGGGTGTGGGAGCTTGGGAGAAGGCAGAGGAGGAGTTACCGTCTGCATCAGGGTGGACTCTGAGTTGGCCACCAGCACAAAAACATCAGCATCCAGACAAAACTTGTCAATCCAGCTGTCCAGCTCTGTGGTGACATCAATACCAGGGCTAAAGGTGACAGGAGTAAACCAAATCATCAGGCAGAGCAGGAGCCCTATTCTTCCTGCTGAGAACAGACCTGGGACTTGTGAGGCAGGCAGGTCATGGAGGAGAAAGCCAGCGAGCGGAGAGAAATCAGGCCTGGCCCTTATTAACCGATTTTTACTTTCCATTTCCTATCCTTTCAGATTGCCTGGAAATGAGTGTTTTGGTTTTTTTGTTTTATGTTTTTGTTTTTTTTTTTTTTCTGAGACAGAGTCTTGCTCAGTCGCCCAGATTGGAGTGCAGTAGTGCGATCTTGGCTCGCCGCAAGCTCCGCCTCCCAGGTTCATACAATTCTCCTGCTTCAGCCTACCAAGTAGCTGGGACTACAGGCGCCCGCCACCACACCAGGCTAATTTTTTGCATTTTTAGTAGAGATGGGGTTTCACCATGTTAGCCAGGATGGTCTCGATCTCATCTCATGATCCACCCGCCTCGGTCTCCCAAAGTGCTGGGATTACAGGCGTGAGCCACTGCGCCCGGCCTTGTTTTGTTTTTTGAGATGGAGTCTTGCTCTGTCGCCTGGGCTGCAGTGCAATGGCAAGATCTCAGCTCATTGCAACTTTCGCCTCCCGGGTTCAAGCAATCCTCCTGCCTCAGCCTCCCAAGTAGCTAGCACTACAGGCACGCACCACCATGCCCAGCTAATTTTTTTGTATTTTTATAGAGATGGGGTTCCACCATGTTGGTCAGGCTGGTCTCAATCACTTGACCTCCTGATCTGTCCACCTCAGCCTCCCAAAGCACTAGGATTACAGGTATGAACCACCACGTGTGGCGGAAATGAGTGTTTTTAAAAAATACATCTATTGCTTTTATAAAAACAGAATTACTTGTAATTCTACTTTAAAGATGATATACCAGGACAGGTGCAATGGCTCACGCCTGTAATCCCAGCACTTTGGGAGGCCGAGGCAGGTGGATCACGAAGTCAGCAGTTCGAGACCAGCCTGGCCAATACGGCGAAACCCCGTCTCTATTAAAAATACAAAAATTAGCCAGGCATGGTGGCGGGTGCCTGTAATCCCAGCTACTTGGGAGGCTGAGGCAGGAGAATCGCTTGAACTCGGGAGGCAGAGGTTGCAGCGAGCCGAGACTGTGCCACTCACTGTACTCCAGCCTGCGTGACAGAGTGAGACTCCATCTTAAAAAAAAAAAAAAAAAAAAAGATATACAATATACAATATACGATTAAGGTGAAGGTGTGACTTGATGTGAGTCTAGGTAAATGCTACAATACTGTACTTCTTGGTATAGTTATA